ATTTTTGTACACACGTCTTTGTAGCTCCATGAAATTTTTATTTTTTGTTTTTTTGCTTTGTCTACTTATATAAATATTTGTAGTATGTATTTTATGCTCAGTATTTGTTGATTTTGTTTCGACCTTTTCAAATACCTGTCAAAATTATCAACCTGTGAAAACTGAACCATTGTTTGATGACACTAGACAAGTCTACATCAGGAGCATGGAATCCTGGGTGGTTGTGCTTTTTAGGGTTATGTTTGTCTGTTAATGCTGACGTATCCTTCTATTAAACTACCTGAAAGTGTTTGACTGAGATTATTCATTCAAGGCAATATAAAACATTATTTTCGATACTCAGTATTCATCTTTGATACATTTTATTCTCGCAAGTATGTTTTTAGTCTGGCTTATACACTATTTATGCGGATTGTACGTTTTCTGGAACTGATCTCTACAGATAAATATTTTATTTTCAAGTATTGGTTTTTGTAGGGATTTTGTTTGATTGCATGGAGGATTTAATCATGAGCTGACATCAGTTAGAGAACCACTGGAAAACCTGGGAGTGCTGGACAGCCGTTTCTTCCTAGTTTGGGACTCCTCAGCAGTACGCACCCACCGGGATTCGAACCCAGGACCTTCTGGTTACAAGGCGAGCTCGTAGACCATTGAGCCACTGGGACCCGATCCAATGGTCCTTGAATTCTAACTTCTGCCAGTTCACGACATAGCGCGACCACTTCGCAATGTCTTCTTCGATGAGTTACTGCCTCATCTTCGACATGCTGTACCCTACTGGTCACGGCTTCCCACTAGAACCCCAGGTTAACTGCCTGAATAGGGCCAGTCACTAGTGAGCATCAGATGAATTTTCAAGTATTGGTTTTTGTAGGGATTTTGTTTGATTGCATGGAGGATTTAATCATGAGCTGACATCTGATTGAAATTCCGACTGCCATAACTTCCGTCAGACTGGGAAACTTAGTGGATACAGAGCACTAGATTGATAAGAACTCAGTTCCACACAAGGCGTCAACTAAGTTCTGCAGATTTGTAAGCCTTCGACTGCTAAGCACTGCTGAAGCAGTTGCCACAAAACATTCCAACCCAATTTGTGATCAGAAAATGTTTGTCCAGTCGGTCTCCCTCCTGTGGACCTTCACTCCCTAACTAGAATAGTTTCCTCTCCTGGTGATAACTGTTGTTATTATCTTTATCTTTAATGTCACCTGTATCTTTTTTTCACATCATCATCATCATCATCACGTGGTGTGGTGAGAGCAGGCTGCTAGCCAATTGGTAGACATCAATTTACGTCAATGCCTAGGTCACTAATATTGGCCGTGAGAAAATATGAACAAGGCTGATTCAACAATCAATCACAGCAGACTTAACGTGGGCAAACAAGATTCGCAGATATATGGATTAAATTTCCGAGAAACCAGAAACAATCAATCAGAAGACTGTGTTTGTCTGCTTGAATAAGCTAAAATAATGTACATGATGAATATAATTATACATAAAAACGTGCTGATTTCCGTAATAAAACGATCTGTTTCCGGCCCTTGTCTTCAGTTGTTACAATGGTATTACAATTCTACCTTTCGATCATGGCTCCGAAATTTATTATCAAACCAAAAACTGCATTACTTAGCCACTCTACCAGACAGTTACTTTTCCCCTACATCCCTACAAATATACACATTCACAATGATTGACGCTTGTGTAAACTTATTCTTGTTATAATAATTACAATCAACTCGATTATTATGCACTGATGCATATGCTTGAACTTTAACTCCATCAGTATCGCTATTCACAAGGTAATTCCCAATTCGCCATTTAAACAACTCGTGGTGAAATTCCAACAGTTTCCTAAGGTGGTCGAGATTATTCAGATCACAAAGTGTGATCTGCTTGATGCCATAAATAGCAGTCAACCTGAAAATTTCGAATTCAGTTCAATCTATTACCAATTCGTCTAGGTAGCTAGCTGGAATTCGGATGGTTTTAACTGACTTGGTTCTGATCTGAGTAGGATACATCACTGACGACCTCGACACTGGACAGGCGAGACTTTGTTCCGTGTTTAGATCACCTCGATCTGAATAATAATCACCACCACTGATTGTTGCCAGTGGTGTCCAACTACTCATGTCAATCAATGAATCAATCAATAGTAAGTAGCGGCATGCATAAATTCGAACTTTATTTCTACTGACCGAATTGGCATTAAATGTTTGGGATTAATAAGTTCACTATCCAATTGTAAAGCCTAGTGAGAAGTCACTGCGCTCTCAAATTTAGTGAGTTATCAATTCTCTGACTTCAGTCTATTAGGTACGCCACTGATGAGCTCGGTGCCAAACGAACGAAAAAGTTGTCCGGCGTTTAGATCAATTCTATCTGGCTAGTAGGCACTACTGATTAACGTCACTGATTCCCGACTACTCATATCAATCCACAGTATACACCATTATGCCCTTCTCATTAGCTTTCTTCATTGTCATCTATGGGATCAAGCTGACCGAATATTGTGATGTTAATATTAGGGGGTTTCCATTGGAAACACCGTGAATTTTCACCTGGAGCTGGTGAATTCGCAAATGTAACTGGATCAACTGTGGCTTCGCTGGACGTAGTCTCTCTATTCGCCAATGTCACCTTAACGGAAACTGTATACTACCTATATGAGTCTATTGACTCGAACAATCTAAATTTTGACATATCCACTGAGCATATCACACAAATAACACTAAGACGCACCCACCAAATGTTCAGTTTTTATTCAATAGTCAAATGCACGGCCAGAAGGATAAAGTGGCGATGGATTCTCTACTTGGTCCATTGCTTTATGGCGTACCTTGAGGCATATATCCTCCTACCAGAAATCAAACAGTTCGAAGTGTGCAATCGGTATATAGATGATATATTCCTCATCACCCATGAAAATACTGACCTCAACAAAATCCTGTAAATCTTCAGAAACTCTCACTAATCAGTCGAACTGAAAATTGAAGCGGAATCAAAAAGTAAATTACCCTTCCTAGATGTCCAACTTACAAGACGATCAGATGGAAGCCTACAAAGATCAATTTACCGGAAGCCAAAATGGAATGGACAGCTGACAAACTATTACAATTTTGTTCCGATGAACAAAAAAGAAATCTCATCGCATCATCTTGTGCACAGTAAACAAGCACTATGATACATACCTAGATGTTACCTTCCTTCATCCAATACTCTTAAGGCGAGATTCATTGAAATTAAACACAAAATTAAAATATGTTAAACAGGCATTACTACCCAGTAATTAATCGCCAGAATACATTGAAATGTTAGTGAGATGTGATAAGGGGAAAATTAAAGACTGAGTGACCGGAAGATGAAGTCCAGAGCTCCTATGTTGCTGCCGTAAAGTGAAAGGATAACAAAGAATTTCATCGTCTCCTTAAAGAAACTGAAATTAGAGCAGCTTTATATTCACTAATTATCTAAAGACGAAGCTGCATTAATCGTCAGAAGGGCGAAATCATTCAGCCTATAAAATGTCACATAGTCATCTTGTGGTGAGGTATAAAGGCTGAAGCAGTCTAACGGAGTCAGCCAGAAAATCTGAGCACAAAAGAACCACTAATTATAGACTGAGAGATCCTCAAAAAATACATCATCAGGAAAAATCACGGTTTCCCTAATTCGTGGGCTGACGCTCGGTATGATAGGATAAAGCATAAGCTCTGAAATCTAATATAATCAGTACAAAATAGATCGCGGAGGCTTTATTTAATCTACACCAAACACACACACACACAACTGCGATAACTGGAAAGCCATTAAAGGTATTTAGAAAATTCTGTTGTCAATAAACCTGTCCTCATAAATGGAAATAATGTTTGTAGGCTTAGAAACGCTGCATGATTCTGAGGAATGTCAAAAATATTTTCGATGGGGTCGTGTCACTGAATTCATCTGTCTATCTGTCTCATTCGACTGCTCTACTTTGGATGGTCCGGTGAGATACAGAAGCTCTACATCTTGATTGAACTTTAACGCATATATATCGTATGACTTCCTCAGTGGTCCAGTTAAAGTTGGAAGGATGCCTCGAAACTCATTCCTCTGCAGCAGTTATTCCCTTACTTTTAGTCTTATTCTGATGTGTAGAATACTGTGCAGCATCCTTATGCTCCGATAAACACTTACTCAATTAGCTTCCTATTCAGAACGAGGTGAGATAATTACAGAAGAAACAACACCTACATTCTTATCAGCAGTTTATGGACATCGATTTCGAATATTCTGTCGGACAAGAATTCTCAAATTGAGTTGTATTTAAGGAATTGTATGAATGCAATTATGCATTCACTGACTCAACTTCAGTTAATTTGTGAATAGGTCAGTTATCCAAAGAAATATTAACTTGAATCACATCCCTCTGGTCTTTTGTCAAAGCAGTTCAATCAAAACAGTCACAGGAAGCCATGGTTTTGATGAGATTATACCTACAATTTCGTTAGATAATCAAACCATCAGCATGTACTCGAGAAAGGAAATATGACTTGCGAAACCAGCCTCACTGTCATGCACGCATACATTAACTTGAGTCAGTTTGACTCTATTATTCAGACATATTGATATCCTGTGATTCCAGTATGATAGTGCTTTCAATCCTGATTAATAACTTGTTATTTACCTAGTGAGCGTGTTGTCTCTACCCTTTCAAAATGGCCTATGCAATGTGTATTAGTGACTGCATACTTTACAACTTCTCACAAAGTTGCACTCATCTTTGTCTTAAACATCACCATATCACAAATTTCTTGAATAAACACACACGGAGTGAAGTATTCCAGCTGAATGATACAAATCTTATTTGAACTACTTCACTGATGTGAGTGAAGGTGACGATTTCTGAGATTTGACACTCATTCCGAGATTACGCTCAAGCCCACAGACGACGAAAATTATGTTAACGCTATTGGAAACAATATGAATACAAATAACTATTTATTTTACTCAACGCGGTTGAAAATAAGTGTTCACCAATTTCGTGTTGCAGGACAAATGAATCAGATAGCCGACTCACATTGCACTAGTGTGAATGTAGACGTCCACCTCAACATTGTTTATTTATCAACTCATTGGAATTGAGAATGATTCTTATTATCTACTTGACACTAATTTACACTGCGAAGGATAGATTGGAGATGATCCTTGGGAAGTGAATGATGACTCATCGTCAATGTATTTTGAAATCTGAGAAAAATAAAAATAGGAGTAAGTCATAAGAATAGGTGATACAACACTGCAAATATGTATCGTGTAGAGAGATGAGTGGTACACAAACACATCAGTAAGTAAAATAGTAAAATCACGCATATACGAGGTGTTACAAAAACCCCTTCACAGAAAAGACTTCCACTGTCATAAATAAATTGAGATTCACAAAGATAAATGAAAACAAATATTACGACATTTCGGATGGGAAAGGAATATACTACCTACGACAGGAGAATAGATGACATTCAATGTATGCAGAAGTGAATCAAATCCGGAGACACATTTCACGTACATTCACTCAGATTGTAACACAAGTTTGTCCGACTTATCTCCACTAACAAACATGAGTAGATTTGCAGTAACCAACCCATTTTGAAAGACACTCCAGATCGGCGATAAAATGTCTATTCCTAACTGCCCACTACTGATTCAAAATGCCTACTTGTCTGAGTAATTAATCAAGCACACTTCCTGGAGAAGTCATGTAATTACTGCTCCTAGCCACTAATATCCGAATTTGTGCAAGCGAAAAAATGAACATCAGTGCGTGGACTTACCTCGGAGAATCTGGTATTATCACCGCTCACTGCCATCTGAACACTCCTATCTGTCTTCCTTAATGGGCATATTCGACTGATAGGTTCCACAGACACGTCTCGCACTTTCAATGTTCTAAATCTCCTTGTCAAGTCCACATTCACATCGTCTTGTGCATGCTAAAAAAGGATTTTATTCACCGATGAAAAATGTAAATGCATGCGCCAGAGAAGTAAACCAGGGTCGAATAGACTACTGGCTCACTAGACTCTAAATGTTCATTAAAACATGAAAAATTCAGAAAGATGGTCAACTAAAGCTGTACACGCGGTCAGTGAAACACAATCATGGGAACAGTGTTTCTGACGCTGGCCCACTACATTCTGGATATGACTTCGAGTGAAAGACCCAGGGGTTGACGCGATAGCAACCACCTGCTTTCGTCTGGGCGTCCGGAGAGTATCCCAGTCTGTGAGGTTTTGTTTGGAGAATCTCTCGGTGGAGGTTTGTGTTTCCAATATAATAATGCCAATAATAATCATAATAATAATAATGGTGATAACAGCTTCTACAACAACAACAAGAACAACATCAACTATTATTATTATTTTTATTATTAACGTCACTGACATATACACATGTCACTGAATACTTACCGGAGATACGGAAGCCTTCTTCAATCTGAATGCAGCCGAGGATGTCTTCTTTGGTTTCATATTGTATGGCATTAGCGACTCTGTTCAAACAGAAGAAAAGGTGGTAGCGAGGTAGCAGAATTAATATACCGAAGTGTATATTATTGAAATGACTTAAGATTAGTAGGTAATTGACTTTGAGAGAAATCAGATATTCAATTTATGGCTGGCATCACGAATCAAGTGGTGGCGTAAAACTAATCGGCCAGATAGGAGTTGTCTGTGCATAATCGGTAGGTGAAATACTCCACATAAGTATAAAACGTCGTCACTGTGGTAGAGTATAACTCCATTTTGGAAAAGAGTTTATTTTGATAAATCACACTGTGTTATATAGTAATATTAACTGATGACGTTTCGAGTACAAACTATTGCCACTCATAACCATATCAAGTTACTCACACAACTGTTCTCCTTCATTTATATACACATACATATAATTCCAAAATATTTACGCCTACGTACTCCAATTACTTCAAGAAAAATAACATCAGCAGCCGAACATGTCAGTAGATTATGCCTAAGAGAAGAACTACATCGAATTACTGTGAAACTAAATAATATACGAAATGAAATTGAAAAACTCAAACACAAACTCAAATGTATGGTCAATGACAAAGATTATGTAATTGTTGTTGAAACATGCGAAAAAGCTAGAGAACCAGAATTAAGTTAGTTTGTGCTGGAAACGTCATCAGTAAATATTACTGTATAACACTGTGTGATTTATCGAAATAAAATCTTATCCATAATGGAAATACTCTACAAGCTTCACCACATGATTTTTCCTGAAAGTCAGTCTCTATTCCAAAACCTCGCAAATAAAAATATTCAACAAAATAATGGAGGAAAAGAGCGCAATAAATGAAAAAGTGATGACGTTCAGCGAAGAGGCTGTTTTCGGTGAATCCATTCACATAGCTGTACAATCGGATTTATATATAATTATTTGTGTGCGTGTGTGCATGAGGTTTGTCAAGTTTAGATAATTGGTCAGATAATAAAAGAATGATCTTATGTAGAAAAATGTTTAAATGGACAGCAACTAAAGTAAGATTGAGTTAGTAAGTTAGATGAGGCAATATAATTGACTAAAATGTTTCAACTTAGGTCAGGGTAGTTGCTGTCCAATTAAACATTTTTCTACATTAGATCATTCTTTTATTATCTGACCAATTATCTAAACTTGACAAACCTCATGCACACACGCACACAAATAATTATATATAAATCCGATTGTACAGCTATGTGAATGGATTCACCGAAAAGAACCTCTTCGCTGAACGTCTTCTCTTTTTCATATGAATCAATCGGGATTTTCAAGCTACACCATAAGTGAAACCGACGTCAACGTTTCATCCTCTATCGACAGAACAACATGGGTGATCAACCTGTCATCAAGGGAACCAAGCTGTAGTGATATAAAATACTTGAAAAGCGACTAAACTTCAGTGTAACAGTTAGTAAATTAAAACCAGAGGATGTCATTCCTAACACAGAAGTAGCACTAAGTTAAATTGATGTGACGACAGCAGAAGAGGTTCAAGCTGAATGTGCATTAACCCTGAGAAATTAAACGAAGGCGAAATCAAACTTACTTAACAACATCAGAAAGACTAGCTCGAATCAGTCTAAATCAGGATAAAAATATTGTCATCAGAAAACCTGACAAAGGAAACTCTACAGTAGTTTTGGATAAATCTGACTATATCAAGAAAGTCAGTGAACATATTGAAACGGGTCCATATAAGGAAATTAAGAAACCTGTAGATACAATAATGAATAAGGTAAAGAAATCTACAGCGGAATTAACATGCAGAATGAAGCCATCAATGGGTGAGTCAAAATGGCTTAATTTAATGCCTAAAAGTAATAATGCTAGTAGAATGTATGGTACTATTAAAATACATAAGCCAGGTTAACCTATACGACCAATAGTAGATTTCAGAAATACCTCTACTCATGAATTATCAAAACACTTAGCTCTAATATTATGCCCCATTAGAACTTGTTCAAACTCTAGATTAACTAATTCATATGAGAGGAAAAATAAACTAAATGACATTCGATGAAACAATGGTTAGTTTTGATATAACTAGTCTTTATATTAATATACCAGTCAATGTGGTCCTAGAAGCAGTTAAAAAGGAACTAACTGCAGATCCCGAACTCACGCATAGGACAAAGCTGCCCATTGAAGAAATTATTTCAGTGATTCAGTTATGCTTCACATCTAATATCTTTAAATTCCAAGGCAAAATATATAGTCAAACAGAAGGTGTAGCAATGGGATCACCAATACCCCCTATCGTAGCAGATATGTTTATGGACAGCTGGGAAAATATGGCTCTTATAACATTCAATCCTACTACAAAAATATAGTGGAGATACGTAGATGACACTTTCACAGTGTTAAAAACAGAACGTGTCTCTAGCATCTTGACACATAAACTCACTATTAGAGGGAATAAAATTCACATTTGAATCGAAAAATGAACAAGGAGAATTAGCTATGTTAGACTGTAAGATAAAACGAATAGAAGAAGGTAAACTGCACACCAGCATTTATAAAAAAACCAACGCATTCTAATAAATATTTAGACTTTAATTCGTCTCATCCGTTAACTGTTGGGGCAGGCTTAGTTAAGTGTCTAACAAACCGAGCAATAGCACTAACTTGCACAAGCAAAGACCTAAATGATGAAATAAAACGTATAGAAGAAGCATTGGTATCAAATGACTAAATATCCTATAAAGTTCATTAGGAAGATCAGTAAAGGCCAAAAACATAATAAAAATAATTATGAAACTAGTAATGATGACATAAATAATAGAGAGAATATAAGTCATCTACTGTTATACCATATAAGGAGAGGACATCTGGGACCCTACGTATGATTCTTAATAAAGCAGGAATTAAGATGGCATTCAAACCTACAAACTCACTCAGGGACAAGCTCTGTAGGTTAAAGGACCCTGTCGGTTGACCCAATTAGATAAAATAATATAATTTACAAAATACCCTGAAATGACTGTGAGTGAGGTCAACTACATAGGTCAAACTAGTAGGTCAGGGGTAGTCAGATTGTCAGAGCATAAGAATTTAGCTAAGGTAAGAATGTTTGTCCCCGATAAGATAAGTAATTTAGAAAAAAGCTCAGCACTGCACTGCACTGCATGCATTAACACACAACCACACAATGTGGTGGTAAAGGCTTAAAATTCTAAGAAGTAATATAGGAAGGTAAAGAGGGAGGTTCATTACTCAATCCTTGTTCATCGAGTCTACATCCATCACATGCAACAGAATTGACTCAATGCAAACACCAGAAATGTGCAAGATATTATTACCGCTAGTCAAATCAGAAGAGGATAATAAATAATCTTAAAATTCTACTTCAATTCAAGCGCATCACAACATTCTATCATGTTACTTATTATGACTATAAAAACACTCGTCGTATTTCCCATCTGATTGAAATCGATCAATAACACTCATATTTAAACAAAGCAAGAACTACAGTTTTAGCAGAATAAAATGGTTTCATCTTTTATTTCGTTGCCTTCCCGTCAGCTACTTACATGATAAAGACATTAGTAAATATATCTACAACAACAATTTTGACATACTTGCACAAAGTTCATTTTAAGCAAAAATCAATAGATCACTATACGCATAGACCAAAATTATACATATATAAATATGCAATATTAAACTCTATTCCGAAAAATGATAATCATACACAATGGAGACTTTTAGCATTTCGCATTCGGAAGAAAGAGATGTGAAAATATCCAGTTACCAGGGCAAAGAAAGACTGCTAACCGCTTCTTTCTGGACGCATAAATCAGGTTTCAGGCGCTTGATGGAAATGGCTTCAGGAAACTTAGGGACAATTGAGCTCTTTTGCCTACTGACAATTTTGAACGACTTTTCGACGTCCACCTCATGACCCTTGTCGAGGAGATGCCTGGCGATGGCACTGTTTAAAGCATTTGTTCCCTTTAGATGTAAGCATTTTGGTACATGTTCAGAAAATTATTATTATTTTTCGAAATATCGTTTAATATTGCATATTTATATATGTATAATTTTGGTCTATGCGTATAGTGATCTATTGATTTTTGCTTAAAATGAACTTTGTGCAAGTATGTCAAAAATGTTGTTGTAGATATATTTACTAATGTCTTTATCATGTAAGTAGCTGATGGGAAGGCAACGAAATAAAAGATGAAACCATTTTATTCTGCTAAAACTGTAGTTCTTGATTTGGTCAAATTCATTAGGCGAATAAATGTATGAAACACTCATATTAATAATTCTGAGTGTACATTATCCTATATTGATTTTAATTCCAATATTAAATCGATTCCACACATGTGTAGAAATGAAGGAAAAAGTTATGTGAGCAATAGTTTGTGCTCGAAAAGTCATCAGTAAATATTACTTTATAACACAGTGTGATTTATCGAAATAAAATCTTCTCCATAATGGAAATACTCTACAAGCTTCATCACATGATTTTTTCCTGAATGTCGGTTTCTATTTAACGCGTTATAGCGGTTGAACTTACATATTCACTATGCAGTAATATGATGAATTCAAGGCTGAGGAGTATCCAATCCCTGGTAGGCATAAACCTAGAGAATGTGCCACTCTTTATCACTATCATTGGCTCTGTGCCTAGCAATGAAATTCGTTTATACGCCTGCTTTCTGTTTCAGTCAGTCAATTGATAGACGTCCAGAGTATAATGTGTCTGACAGGTCAGGTGACGTCCTAGTGGTGTGATGGTTTACGGTTCATCTTGTGACCCACAGGTCATTGGTTCGATCCGTGGTGGGGTGATGGGCACATACTGCTGAAGAGTCTGGAACATGGACTAGGCGGCTGTTCAGTACTCCCCAGTCATTTGGTGCATATCTGTGACTCTTTATATTTCAGATCACTGCTGATGGATGTTTACTGTCCTCATGCTTGCATCTAGCTGAAGGATGTGACTGCTATGAGTAAAAGGCAACCTATGATAATATGAAGATGAAGAACACATATTCACCATTTTGGTACTACACCAAAGTAAAGTACATTGACAAATGAGTTAGAACGTTAACTCACCAGGCAGTGGTGTGGCTGAATTGTTGAAACCGGTGAACAAAGGCGGTAGAAAGGATGGTGGTAGAGGTTTTGAAAAGGGTGGTCGCGGGACTCGGAAACAAATTGGTGGCAGCGGTGGTTTTCGCGGAGCGTGGAGTTGAGGTAAAGGAAGGCGACGAGTTGCGGCAGGTGATTTTGGTGTTGGTTGCGTCACCTTGTAAATATCTTCACTGTCATAGTTTCTAAATCTGAATATTGGCCTTAGGAGAATTCCAATCTGTCCTTCTTTGTCAAAAACTTCATCACTACACGTCTGTGTGTTTTCAGTGGCTTGTAAACCTTCAGTTGAGTTTGGTGAATCTGGGGATGTTTCCATTTCTGAACCATAGGTTGACGATGATTCTACAGACGTTTCCGATGAAGCATCATTGGCGTGCTTTGATGTCTATGGAAGAAAAAGCAGGAGTGTGTTATTATTGTAGGCAATATTTCATTATAATTACATGAGATATGCGGAGACGAATGGTGAGGAAAGGTGGTCGCACCTGACTATGTGCGAAATACCATAAAATAATTTTTTTGTATTTCTCAATGTGTGAAAAACTATACGAAATTGTTTTTACTGACTTTTCGCTATTTAATGCTAATATTTCCTCAAAGAATTAGTTAACCGGAATTTACAAAATCTCAGCATATATATAACAAAGAGTTAGAGTGTGAGAATGTGTTTTGCAGTGTACACTTAATTTTGTTTTCTTTATCAAATTACCAACTTGACAATCGAAAATGACATCAGATTAACAAACCATGATCAAGTTAGTAAACTTTATTTTGATATCATAACAGATGTACTATTACCTTTGATATTTGGTTTAGTGATCTTTATTGTTATTTTGACTTTCAATATGCCCTTTCAACTTGACCTAAGTCTACTTTCTCACTCCCTAACTCTTTGTTATATATATGCTGAGATTTTGTAAATTCCGGTTTAATAATACTTTGAGAAACGATTAGAATTAAATAGCGAAACGTCAGTAAAAACAATATCGTTTTGGTTTTCATTCATTGGGAAATACAAAAAACGTTTATTATAATAAATATTGTGACATTTTGGATGGGAAAGGAATATACTACCTACGACAGGAGAAAAGATGACTTTCAATATATGCAGAAGTTAATCAAATCCGGAGACACATTTCGCGTACATTTACGTGAATGTTAACACAATAGTATCACAAATGTTTCACAGCTATAACCGTGGACTCCTCCATTTACCCGGAAGCATATTATACAATGACACGATTTGTCAGCCTTGAAATCTTGTTTAACAGATTCGGGCGGGATATTGACATGTGATTTTCTATTCGACGTTTCAGGTTTGAACGTAAGCCAGTGTTTGGCACTGATTGAAGGGCCGCTTTCCTGTCAAATTTAGTCTCTTGTTTTAATACTACTTCTGTTTCTACTACTAATGCCACCAATACTACTAATTCTGTGACAAATACCTGGCAGTGACTATGAGTTAGGTCAACTAAATAGGTCAAACTGGTAGATCAGGAGTAGTCAGATTATCAGAACATAAGAATTAAGCCACGGTTATAATGATAAGTAATTGAGAAAAAACTTAGAAATCGCACTGCATGCTTTAACACTCAACCACACAGTAGGGTGGGTGGGACAGAGTCGAAATTCTAAAAAGCCATATATAGGTAGGTAGGTAGGTAGGTAGGTAGGTGGAGACATAGATTGACTACCGAATCCTGGTTCATCGAGTCTACACCCAACACATGCAATAGAAGTAACTCAGTGCAAATACCAGATATATGGAAGATATTACTACCAGTCAAACCAGAGGAGGATAATAAATAATGTTAAAATGCATTCAATTCACATTATAACATTCTAACATGCTACTTATTTTTACTGTGTAGGAAAACATCTTATTTCCTATCTTAATGACTAACAACACTCGTCTTATTTCCCATCCTATTGTATTTTATTGATAAAACTGGTATTATTTCCAAATGTGCTTTATCTTCCTTTCCGTTTCACTCAAGTCTTATATTGGTTCTCTTCAAATGTCTGATCAACTGATCAAGGAAGCAAGAATGACATGTGAGTGCGTTGATGTGATCATGAGCAATAAATTGTACTCGAAACGTCATCAGTAAATATTAGTGTATGACACTGTGTGACTTTGTGAAAATAAAGTTTTATCCATAATCAGATTATACCACACCAGTGTGTCTAAATTTTATGTCTTTATATGAATAACTCTCTCACCTTGATTATTGGCAAAATTCTCTGATATCCGAGTGAATCTTGCGTACTTGGAACAAGATTGGATCTGTGCTTCGGAATATACACGCTTCCATACAGTCTGTTCTGTGATTTTCTGGATGTCCAAAGATTATTGTTATTATCATCAGGATACTCGTCATTGAATGTTGTGTCTGTGTCAGCGCGAAATCTACAAGTGGAAATCGAGATTGGGACAAAGTATCCATTGAGAATATAGGAAATCTTGAATAGCTGAGAGTTTACGAGAGTTGTTTTAAAGCAGTTGGAGAGACCGACCTATTGAAGCTTGCCATTTCGATTCTTCTAGACGATGACGTGACTTCCAGATTTTCACATATGAAGCGATCCTAAAATGCACCATGATGTATTTCTTCAGTCGTGTGATCGCAGAAGGACATCCTGGAGACTTTTATTGAATCTCAGTGACAATACACTTCGCCCCTCACATAGAAATACTTATCTTAATGACGATAATTCCTACAAATATTTTGAGATAATAAGTCAGCTGTGATGAACTTGGTTGTGGCGTGTAACATGGATATTATTATCTAGGTCGAAAGACGAGTGGTTGGAAGATTACTTGATCATCCTCAGACGGACAAAAGTGGGACAAATTCTGGTTAAATAATGGTTAAAATCGGAAATCATTGGGTGTAGTAATGGTTTAAATCGGTGAACTGCTGTCACATAACCAAATATTCACCCATTTGTTTTCTTACTACTGTCCACGACAATCATTCGTCTATTATCTACCACTTTTGTCCGATCGGGTGGGTAAGATCGATAGAATGAAGAGCCTGAATTGAGCGAGATTGGTTGTCACAATTTCGAAATTCTCCCGTCCTCTAGTCTCCTCTGTATTCATTCAACACCTGGTTAAATAATATCAACGCGGACGACAATAATAATTTCCCATTGTTCATGACATGCTTGTCACTTGGGATGCTCTGGACAACCTCAGAACTCCTCGTCTACGCTTACCATCTCTAGCCTATCCTTACTTAAGATGGTACAACCTTCGTCAGAGCTTGTCACTGTAGTATTTTCCATACAATACGACCGGTTTCACTGTTATGCATGAATTTGACTGACACAACAATGTCAGTTTACTTGTCTCTTTCTCTCCCTCTTTCTCTATTCAGGTATCGCCAGAACACATTCACAAGAAGTCATTCAGAATTGTTAGTATGCAAAATGCAGAAGAGTACCGAAAATCAGAATACTGAATGATCATGGAGTTGGAAATATTCCTTATTCAAATAATGTTTTAGGCGAATCCTCCTAATACGTCCTACGCGTCATTTCTAATGCCTGTTAGAAACCGATCAATGTGGTGGTTTCCTTACTAATAATTATTGATCAACTGTCTGACTATATCTTCATCCAATGGCTTCAATATATCGCTTGAATTCACATTCGATGACAAGAGTATCACTGAAGTCTGAGTTCTACAGAATACCTCCATGTAGACACAACACAAAACTTTGAAAAATAGCACCCAAAAGAATTAACATCCAGTGAACAATAAATAACTAAATGAGTCAAATCAATCACTTACCGCTTATTCTTCTTTGACTCTCCTCTCTTCCCTTCAAGTGAGTTACATTCTCCATTAGTAGTCCTCTTTTTATTCCTGAATGATCTATTAAATGATCTTGAGTCTTTTAAATTTCCATTAAGTTTCCTTTTCGGCCACTTGAAACATAAACATAAATTTCCACAAAAATCTTTCCGTGTGTTTTGTGAAGGCAGTTCACGCATATTCGTGTCAGTTTTAACTTTGAATGTTTAATTTCAAATGCAATTACTAGTAGCCACAAGGGCAGTTCATCAATAACCTCGAAATGAATGACCTATCAAAACTTTGCATTTGGTTTTTGACATAGTTTTAGGAGACTTAAACTAAATAATCGTAGTTCAGTTTGAGTTGACCTGTTTGTTGTGTTATGTAACGTAATGCTACCTTCATATGACCTAATGTAATGCGGTTAAATATTTTCAAACTTACAAAAAGGTCATCTGAATCATAACAAGAGTGAATGACTGGCTTTCAAAATAGAAAGGCATATTTTTCAACCGAACACGTGACTTATGACGAAAAGACACAAATGAAGAAATTCAAACTCGACAAGAACAATTTCAGGCCAACATATATTTTCAAGTATTTGTTTTGTAGTGAATTTTTCGTTTGATTGGTTGGAGGATTTCACCATGAGCTGACATCAATTAGAACCCTGGTGGGTGCATACTGACGAAGAGTCCCAAACTAGGACGAAGCAGCTGTCCAGTACTCACAGCTTTTCCAACAGTTCTCCAACTGATATCAATCAGCTCATGATGAAATCCTCCAACGAGTCAACATATAATTCATTAGGTGTTATCACTGATTTAGGTTTCAGTTGTAACGAAGAGCAATGAATAAAAAAATGACATGTGATAAAAAAAGCGTCGAAGATAAATTTTCACCATTCAGGTATTACAGCAAAGTACAGTGTGCTGGCTGGAAATTTACTACTACTACTACTAACAATAATTTCCACTTTATTCCAAAACAGTACTAATTATACAGTGTGGAATTTTCAGCATTTGGTGCAATACTGCACATAATCTTATCGAATGACTCTAGAAACAATTACAGAGATAATATTACAGGATTGTTGATGACAGTTCATATTTGGTATTTGTAGTGACAGTGAAGTCATTTTATTATTGTTGTAGTTAGAAAGACATGGAATCATCTCCACAGTTACAAATCCGTGTAATATAAATGTCTGTCGACAATCACATACATGTGCATACCCCACAATGAACAGTTCCACTTTTCATTGATTAGCGTTCCGAGTAGGACATAGGGCTTCAAGCTTGAGCTCTGAAGTTTCAGTAGCGAGGTGGCTTTTCAGGGGTGAGATTAATGGCCTCATGACCAACCTTCCCTAATCACCGAATCTAATATCTGTTTAGCAAGGTTTAGGATTGCTTCGACCGAGGAGCGAACCTGAAATAAGCAAGGGTCAAGTTGGTATGCCGTCCAGATGGTGCGTACTACAGGACTGATCCCTGGAAGAACAATCCCATTCCCGAACTCAGTATTTCACGTAGAACTGTTTCCACTTAACCAAGTAAAATCACAGATCAGCTCACTTC